TTCTTTCTTTCTTTCTTTCTTTCTTTCTTTCTTTCTTTCTTTCTTTCTCTTCCTTCCTTCCTTCCTTCCTTCCTTCCTTCCTTCCTTCCTTCCTTTTTTTTAATGTGTATGAGTGCTCTGTCTGCATGTACAATCTTATGCCAGAAGAGGGCATCAGATCCCACTATAGATGGCTGTGAGCAGCCATGTGGTGGCTGGGAATTGAACTCAGGACCACACTGGAAGAGCAGCCAATGCTCTTAACCTCTGAGCCATCTCTCCAGCACCCCTCCCCCCAGCATATTCTTTTTAAATTGAATTTTATTATGTCTGTTTGTTTATTGTGTGCATGGCGGGGGGGGGGGGGCACACCGGTGCTGCGTGCACATGTGGAGGTCAGAAGACAACTTCCAGGAGTCAGCTCTCTCTTACCACCTTGTGAGAACCGGGATGGAACTCAGTTCACCAGGCTTAGCAGCGGGCACCTCTGCAAGCAACGCCATCTTGGTACTTCCCACACATATCTCCCAAGATGCTCTTTTTAAAACTTCTGTCTTTATGACAGTATGTACATTAACTTGACTACTTTAAGATGCCCTAATTTCTTGGGGCATTTGAATAGAAGCTGAAGGAACTCTGGCCACAAAGAAGTTACCGATGCTGTAGAAGGCCCCTCTCCTCCAAGCATAAAGTACTAACATGGGTAACAAGCTGGGGCTACCACGAAATGAAGTGCACTCCGTTCTAGAACATGGATCAAAATCATGTTCCCCTGTGTCCTAACATGAGGGGGCCCCAGGAAAAAGGCAGTAAGAAGCCCCACCCAGTCCCCTGCGTGGATTGACATGGAAGAAGAAGAGGAGAAAAGAAACCCTGGCTGCCATTCAGACTAACTTCACACCAAAAACATCCCAAGAGGGGCTGACATGCTCTACTAACTTTCTTTTGATAAAAAGGCCCTCAGGAAAATGCTCTCTACACCAAGAACTCTCTTTAGTCACCCAACTATGCCCTCGGTCATTGTCTGACTATCAATGAGACAATAGCTTATTGTGGTGCCATCGCTGAAGGCAGGTACAAAAGCAATCCTCAGATAAGAGGCCACTGCTTATGCTTCAGCAGGGAAAAGCCAAGCCTTGAAGAGTCTATGGAGCTATTTGCACATGGGCAGCCCAGCACTCGCCCCCACCCCTTGATAAGCAACCTGGGTCCACCCAAGCCACATCTATAAAAGCAGACCTCCTGGCCTTCGTCCAGCCAGCCTGACATCATGGATTCCAAACAGTGTGGTTGTTGTCACGCCTTCTGGTACCCTCAAACTGCACAATGCCCTCTCCTGATAGCACAGGGATGACCCACAGCCCCTGAGGGATCTGAGGGCTGGCAGGGGTGATGCCTACTCGCCCATTTCTGTGGCTGTCAGAACTGCCCACCCCTCCTGCCCTTGGCTTCGGTTTCAGCCCTTCCTCTCCGCTGGGTCTGGAGATGTTGGAGGGTGCTGGTAATGTCTGCTTTCCTCTGGCTGGCACTGTTCTCCTGCCAGAGCCTATCAGGTTGGTGCCAAAGAACCTCTCAACCAGGCAAACAGTATTGTCCCGAGCACATGAGTAAGAACTTCGGTGGTGCCTCTGCTGTGTTGGTGAATACAGGGTAGAACCAGACGGGAATGACCCATCTGAATTAGCAAGGAGTTGGGCTTGGGAGATAGTACAGTTGGTAAAGTGCTTGCCACACAAGCGTGAAGACCCGGGTTCGATCCCCAGGACCCATGTAGAAAGTTGGGTATGGCAGCATGTACTGTCATCTCAGTGATGGGTTAAGGCAAAGACAGAAGTGTCCCTGGGGCGTGCTGGCCAGGTAGCCTAACCAAATCACTGAAACCCCAGATTATAGTGAGACTCTGTCTTAAAGAGAAAGGTGAGGACCTGTATTTGGTTCCCAGCACCCACACAATGGGTCACAACTGTCCATAACTCAAGTTCCAGGAAATATGATGTCATCTTCTGGCCTCCACAACACCGTATGTAGATGGCAAACATAAAATGTATGTAGACAGAGGACTCTCACACATGCAAACCTTAAAAATTAAATAATGTCATAGAACAAAACACAAGGTGGATGGTTACAGAAAAACAATTCCAGTGATGACCTCTGGCCTCTCTACACGCATGCATATATAACACACACACACACACACCCCACATGCACACATACCCTAAATATATAAATAAACAAATACTTTTTAAATGACTTAGTGAGGGGTACCAGCTATAAGTCAGGGTTCCTTAGTTCCCATGGCAACATTTTCAGAGATCATCACAGCCAGATTTTCTGCCAAGAAACCAGCCTTGTCTATTTGCTTTAACACCTGGGAGAGATGTCGTATATACAGTGCTCCTGACAAGAGATGTTCCTAGAGACTCTGCCACTGGAGGCTGCATTGCCCAAGGCTGGATGACATCCTCATCTAAGGATTCTTTCCCTCTTCGTCCACTGGGGCCATCTGTCTGTTTCCTGGCCTCCAGGGCATTCAGAAGTCTGTACTTCTTTCTTAGGGCCATTTGATCACCAGTGATGGGCAGGTTTCTCCCAGACACCTAGGACATCTACCCTAATGCCAGGGAGGAATAATGAGAGTTTCCTGGCACTTCACTCTGGCTGCCATTTTTTGCCTGCTCTTCTCTGTAATACACAATGCCGAGGGTTAGGGACCAGCAAGGTCCCTTGTTTACTCAAGTATTGTCCCCCCCCCACCCGGGGCGGGGGAGTTCAGGACCTCTGCAGCCGCCTTTGCCATATGGAATTGCTTTATAGGCACATCCACGCTGCTGCCGTCAGAGCTCGGGCATATGTAGACTTCCTGGCTGGTGCAGGTAACCAAAGAGCAATGAGTTTGCCGAGATCTCCAGCCTCCCGTGTGTCCACATCAACTCCGTCTCCGAACCCCCACAGCCAAAGGTCATTCAGATCTCCTACCTTAACAAGGCAGTGCTCGTGACATTGGCTGGGACTCTGCCAGGCCAGTAAGCCAGTGCTGGGACACGATGGCCCCCTTCCCAGGTGGTCTGCTTGGCTGCACTTCCGCCTGTGAGAAGAAGAAGCAGTTGCTTCATGAACATCAGTGACTCCGACCTTCTTCTTCAGCTAAGAGCTGGCCTGTGGGAGAACAGTTCCTCTCTAGGAGTGTCCAGTATTTCAACAAAGAAATGACTTTCTTTAAAAAAAAAAAAATTACTACCCAGTCCCCCAACTGTTAAGAGCTTTCAATACATGCTTTGATTTCACCGGACTTAACATACATAAACAGAGCCCTCTGTTAATTTTATCAATTCCTCTCGTGACATCCCCACTTTAAACTGTTTTATTCTTTACTTCTCATGTGTCTCTCCCTGCACTGTGAGACTCAAGACATCCTAGGTGCTTAAAGAATCTTTGTGGAATAAATGAATTTGTGCCTCAGTTGATTACGTGCCTGTCTCATGAAAAGAGAGAGAGAACAGACCCCTCCAAGTTGTTCACATCTACCCCGTACGAATGGAGCCCTCGGTTTAATCTCCAGTACCAAAAGATAATGAAATTAAAAACTACAATTCTTTGGAAGAGGGGGCTTCCTCGGATGTTCAATCTACCCAGTGCCTGACTGATCTCGTATGGATTTATTTTGTTTTGCTTTGTTTTTCCTCGAATTAATGAGTCGTTCTGATGAGGCGGTATCGGTCATCTTTCCGAGTGCTTGCCTCTTGGGGGGAGGTAAGAATATCCTGTGTGCAATCTATGAACTTTCACATTAGTAATGGGAGGCATTATTTTTGTAGCCAAGTCAAAAGTGACCACCAATATAATGACAGCCCGTGGGCTGGAAGAGATGAGGTCATGTTTTAAGAAAACATCCTGAATACACATGCTGCGCTGAATTAACCATGACGGACTCCGCCACTCCTACACACACACACACACACCCCACCCTCATCCCCAGTTGAGCCAGAGGCCAGGGATTCCACAAGGTTCGCGTGTAAGAAGTTCTTCCAAGGCAAATGCTGTATGTGGCTCACACACACTGTGGTCATGCAACTTCCCCAAGTTTGGCTGGTGTAAATAATAAAAGCAATCATGGGTGGGGAGGCAAGGCGACCAAGATGAAGGCTTCCTCCCTCTGTACTCTCACGGCGGCCACAAACAGAACCTTTGATGTCCCTGGCTCAGTGCACCAGCCCGGAAGTGCTCCAAATTCCTGGGACCAGCACACAAGGAGCTCTGGAGTCCCCCAAGTGCTGAGAGAAGAAACGGTACACAAAAGAGCTCCTACCCTATGGGCTGTTTACATTTAATGTGTTGCGCTCGAGAAACCAACTAAATTCAGTCCCTACAGACTGAAAAGTTCTTTGATCTCATCCAGTATTCCTCCAGTGCACACTTTCCACCAAAGTCTTCTCTCCCCAAAACGCACAAAGGACAAGGCCATTCCAATTATCCACGCACGTGGACTAGAAAACCCAGAACTGGGGCAGAACACAGAACGTGTTTCCACGTGGGTTCAGGACGCACGGCACGCTTAGCTTAAGGCCAAACAGGAAAGAGTCTGAGCACAGACACGTGCTGGGGAATCTGCGGGTCTTTCCAGCCCTGGAAGGAGCATTTGCACGGACACTTTTGGTATGAGTGGGTGGAAAGATGGGGCCCTTTTATTTACAGCCCATGATGCATGACATTCAAAGGGCCCTACTTAACCTTTGAGGCCAGATGCTCAAACAAGGCCAAGGCGCTGGATCCAAGAAGTAAATCATTATCTCCAACCAGAAGGCAGGAGCTGTTGCTCAGCTCTGTGGTAAACAAAGGGACACCTGTTTGCGGGGATCCCGTGGGCAGCTCTTCTGAGGGTGGCTGACCTTCTCCAGGGGTTTCTCAGTGGAAACACTCATCATGCCCGTCATCTTTCAGCAAAGGGTCAGAAGCTGGAGGGCTTAGAAGGAACTGTGCCAGCAGTAAACGTGTCTGTCAACACAGAGGACAACCCACGTGCAAAGTGCAGCAACTGGGAGAGAGGATTGGCCCAGAGAGGCCCCTCACCATGACCGTGTGGGTGGGGGTGCTCAGCTAATCCAGCTGCACCTGAGGTTCTAATTTTACCTGAGAGTCATGATCACTTATTCCAGCCATGTATGGGATGCCAGTTCCACAGTCCTTGTTTGCAAAGGGACTTAGCTTGAATCCTGTGTTTGGGCAAACACTTACAAAACTAAATATTTACCACCCACAACACGGACATAACTCTGCTCCAAACCCCAGTTTCTCACCAGCCCTGCTAGGAGTGGAGAAAGGTCTCCCCAGCATCTTCCTTTGGCCTTCCGAGGGGTGGGATGCAATTGTCAGCCATGTGTGCTTATCAGACTGGTTTTTTGTGGTTTATCTGTACTAGCAAGGACAGAGTCCAGAATAACTGCCTCTAGGCAGCTATCTTATTCCTCATTACAAGTTAATAATAACATGCGGACAATAACATTGTCTATTAATGGAGCCTTTACCTAGTAACAAACTAAGTTTCATAAGCATGTGGCTAAGTGCTTTCCTACATTATTTCATTGAATTTGGATGACAATTTTTGCACATGTATTTGTGTGGGTGTATGTGTGTATGCTCACACCAAGGTATGCATGTGGAGGTCAAAGGACCACTTTTGGGAGTTGGTTCTATTTTTAAACCATGTGTGTCCTGGGGATCAAGCTAAGTGTTTAGGCTTGGCTGCAAACATCTTTGTCTGTTGAGCCATCCCACCAGCCCTTGTATGAAAATCTTTTGCACTACACACTGTGATCCCCATTTTTTCTATGGAAAAAAAGGGAAAAGCTCAAAGAGATTAAGCAATATTTCCAGGACTGAGGTCTGAATTCGGGGCCTTCCCTATGCTAGGGAAATGTTCTACCACTGAGTTTGAGCTATATCTGCAGCCTCTACCCCTTCTTTTAATTTTTATTTTTGAAACAAGGTCTCACAAAACTGCCTGGACTAGCCTTGAATTCACTATGCTGCCCAGGCTACCCTCAATTTGTCAAATCTCCTGCCTCAGCTTCCTGAGTGGCTCGGATAACAGGAATGTGCCACCAGCCCTGGCTTAGTTTAAGTAGTTAGAAAATCCAGATCCAGTTACACAGTCAGGACCCTCACCGATGAAATCTTCTAGTATAGCAGTCCTCATCCTGAACGTATGTCAGAGTCACAGGCGGGTAAAAACACCATGGTGAAACCCTTCCCCTAGAGGCCGTGATTAGCTGGCCTGACGGGGGTGTGGGGGGATGGGGAGGTGGCACATCAATTATTTATATATAAAGCTCTCCCAGTAACATAACGTGGACAGGACTCATTCCCAGGCTAGACAGAGTCAGACACAACACCCTTCGAAGTCAAATGCAGCTTGTGTGCTCTTTTGTGTCTGTATGTCAGTGTTCATGTGGCGGGGTGGGTGTGGGGGTATAGGTGCCCGTACTCAAGTATGGGCGCGAGGCCAGAGATCAACTTTTGGTTTTGGTTTGTTTTCTGAAGCCCACGGAAGCTAAGCAGCCGTCTCTCGTTTAGAAGATGTAATTTCAAAATAAAGGAGAGAGAATATACCAGGCACAATGGACCGTGCCTGTAAGCCTAGCATTTGGGATTCTGAGACATGGGGATCACTTCTAGTTTGAGGCCAGCCTGGGAATGGTGGATTCCAGGCCAGACTGGGCTACAGAGTGAAACACTTTCTCAAAAAAAAAAAAAAAAAATTTAATTAATCCTTCAGTAGACTTGACCTATGACCCATTTCTCCCCTTTGCACATCCGACTAATTAGTAACACCTGGACCGTTTCCTGATCACCCTGGGGACCTGGGAATTGTCAGGAAGCTAAGACTGTTAGGCTGTGGCAGAAGCACAGGAGGCTGAGCTGCTGGCTTTGATTGGCCTAAGATTATGGTCAGGAAGAGCGGAAGCCCTAGCTGGGACTTCACTCTGCTTACCTAATTTAATCTTCCGGGAGTCAGAAGGTACGGTCACCGTCCAGGCTTTGCCTCTGTCTGCAAACCCTCCACTCTTTGAGACATCTTCCTCTCTCTGTTGTGGTTTCCAGGACAGGGCCACCCTGGCACGTGATCTGTGACCAGTCAGCTGGCTTGACCATGTGGAAGAGGGGGCACCGTGTTCTGCATCAGCCCCTTGCACCTGCTCCTCATGCCCAGAGGCCTCCGTGTTCTGAGTGAGTCATAGCCTCACACTTCCCTACCGCTTCTGGAAGAGCTGGCTGGCTTTCTGGTTCCCACACCCCATCCAGTAGCCACATGCCCAGCTTAGAAATGGTGGAAGAGAATGCCAGAAGACCTCCGATTCTCCCAGAACAGCCTTTGTTTTAACCACACAGCAGCCAACTCCTTAGGTTTGAAGACCCAGGTCATATGACCTCCCTCTGCCTCCCCACGGGCTCAATCATAAAGTCTTTAAGAGGTGATTAGCAGCTAAAGGTCAACCTTGGGTACCTTCCTCGGACCCTGTCAACCTGAGACAGGGTCTCTCGCTTGACCTGGAACTCAGTTATTAGGTAACATGGAGGGGCAACAAGCTTCAGGGGTCCACTTGTCTCTGCCTCCCGAGCGCTGGGATTCCAAGCGTGAAGCATCACACACAGCGTTCTAGAGATCACCCAGGTCTTTGTTTGCAAGGCAAGCACCTTGCTACCCGAGCCGTCTCCCCAACCTGTGTGCTTTTTAATCACAGGCTTTCAGCTGACCACACTTTACCCCTTCTACCATAGCATCACAGATATCACCCGAGAAGTCACAGCAAGAAAAACAGCCAAGTCCCTAGCTTAAACTTCTACATACTTTTCGATTTGCAAAGCTATTTGTTCATTTCGGTAAGCTTTCCCACTTTGATCCATGGCCCTGGTACATTAAAAGTCTGAGCTGTATTTGGCTTCCTGTCCAGAGATGCTTGTCTACGGCCCCGACGATGCATGTCGATGCATTTGTGGTTAGTTACGACTCTAATTAAAGCAGAACCTCTTACTTAAAGCAATAAATATTTAGCCTCAGCAACCAAAACATAAACAGAACCATGATTC